AACAAGTAAGTCGTCTAAAGTTGAAAGACTAGAACTAGTGCATACAGCATGTTTGGGGGCCAGCCTTCGTGAAATCCCTTGGAGGTTCACAATATTATGTAACCTTCATTGATGACTCTACAAGAAAGGTATGGGTTTATTTTCTTAAAAATAAATCGATGTGTTTTCCGTGTTTAAAAGGTGGAAAAAGGAGGTTGAGACTCAAACAGGTTTAAAGGTCAAATGTTTGAAGTCTCGATAATGGTGGAGAATATGACAAGTAGGTCAATTCAAGGAGTTTTGTTCGTAGAATGGGATCGAATGATCAAGACAGCTCCAGGAACACCGTAACAAAACGGTGTGGCGTAAAGAATGAACTTAACCTTGAATGAGAGAGCAAGATGTATGAGAATCCAAATGGATTACCCAAGGTATTTTGGGCGTATGCAATAAGCACAACAGACTCTATCTCATAAACAGTAGGACCATCAGCCTTTTAGACTATAAGTTACCCGAAGAAGTATGGTCCTGAAAAGAGGTAAATCTTTCACATCCGAAAGTTTTTGGTCAGTGCTTCATATGTTATGTTAGACTCTAATAGTAGAGATAAATTGGACCCTAAGGCAAAAACGTTGTTATTTCATTGGTTATGGATCCGACATGTTTGGCTACGTGTTTTGGGATGACCAAAACAAGAAAATTATCGAAGTAGAAATGTTACTTTTAATGAAAACATGTTCTATAGAGACAGGATTGCGTAACTCGCAAATGTAAATAAACAAACTAGAGCAAGTATCATTAGAAGAAATTTCGTAAAGTGATGTAGTCAACCGAAGGCGTAATATACAAGTAGAGCCTATGTCGAGCTCGAGACGTAACCCGAACAAATAGTAGAGTCAAGAACTCCCGAAATCTTGGTTAGAAGATCTAGCGTATCAATTGTAGCACCACAAAGGTATTCCCCTTCATTGCATTATTTGTCTGCTGATCGATGTCAGTGAGCCGTAGCATTTTGCCGAGGCTATGCAGGGAGATGAATCTATTAAGTGGGAGCTAGCAATGGAAGATGAGATAAAGTCCCTTCGTAAGAATAAAACATGGTCTTTAACCAAGCTACCGTAAGGAAAGAAAGTTTTGCAAAACAAAGTGGGTCTATAGGTTGAAAGAAGAACCAGATGGCGCGAAAAGATATAAGGCTAGACTCGTGAGTGAAAGGGTTCCAACAAAGACAAGGAATTGACTTCACAGTAAATTTTCTCCCCGTTGTCAAGATGACTACCATCGAGTTATCTTGAGTATAGTAGCCGTAAAATCTTCATTTGGAGCAGCTTAGATGTCAAAACCGCATTCTTACATGGGGATCTTGAAGAGGAAATTTTTATGACACGACCTAAAAGGTTTTGAAGTACAAGGCGGAGAAAATCTTGTATGCAAGCTTCATAAAAGTTTGTACTGATTAAAACAAGCGCCGAGACAATGGTACAAGAAGTTTAATGAGTTTATGAGAAACTCAGATTTCGCAGATGTGAAGAAGATCACCGTTGTTATGTGAAGAAATATGTTGATAGCTATATCATTCTTGCCTTATATGTTGACGACATGTTGATTGTTGGAGCTAATATGGCGTAAATTGACAAGTTGAAGAAACAATTGTCGAGAGCTTTGAAATGAAGGATCTTGGTCCAGCCAAGCAAATTCTTGGTATGAGAATCTCCCGAGATAGTAGATAAAGGTATTTTGAACTTATCTCAAGAAAAATATATAGAAAAATTGCTTAGCAGCATTCAATGTTGGGAATGCTAAAACCAGGAATACACCTTTGGGAACTCACTTAAAGTTTTCAAAGAGGCAATCTTCTCAAACGAAGAAGAAGAAAGTCACATGTCTAAAGTGCCATATGCATCTACAGTAGGAAGCTTGATGTATGCTATGGTTTGCACCGCACTGTACATAGCACATGCAAAGGGAGTTGTGAGCAGCATTTCTATCAAATCCCTGAAAGGAGCATTGGGAAGGAGTGAAGTGGATATTCGTATATTTGAAAGGCACTTCAAAGATGCATTTGTCTTTCAAGAGAAGTAATCTCATTTTACAGGGGTTTTCTCGATGCGTACTTGGGAGGTGATCTTGACTCGTAGAAAGAGCACAACAAGTTATATTTTTACATTGGGTGGTACAACTATCGCTTGGAAGTCTAAACTTCAAGGAAGGGTCTCTCTCTCAACCACCGAAGCGTAGTATGTAGCTATCTCGTAAGCAGCCAAGGAGATGATATGGTTGAAGAACCTTCTAAAAGAATTAGGAAGAGAACAAGATGGTTCTCCGTTGTTTAGTGACAGTCAAAGTGCTATTTGTCTTGCTAAAAATCCAATCCTTCATTCCGCATGTAAGCACATTGAATTGAAGTATCATTTTATCGAAACCCGATAAATGATGGAGACTTGAGTTTGTTGAAGATTCCAGTGCGCAGAATCCCGCCGATATGTCGACCAAGACTCGTTATAACAACTAAGTTGAGGCTTTGCATCGCCTCAACCGGCCTTCGAGCAAATTGATGATGAAGGCACTACACTAGGTGGTAACGTAAATCAAACTCCAAGTGGGAGAATTGTTAGTATTATGGTGCTTGATTTAGTCCCACATCGATTAGGATTGTGAGACGAGGTTCTCTATTTTGTTATATAAGCAACCCTATGTAAAGTTTGAGATACACACGTAAATAAAAATACTTCCTAGTGTAGTCGTGGACGTAGGCATACATATTTTAGCCGAACCATCGTTAAAATTCTTGTGTCGTTTATTTTTCTCTCCTTCATTCTTTCCTTATGGTGGGAGGGTAAATAATTACAAAATATAACAATGAAGATGTTATGTTAAGTCTCACTTGGAACGATACAAAAGAAATTGGAGCATATTTGATCAAGTGCATACTAATAGAAGAACATTTGTTAAGTATAATCTTTAACTTGAGATGAGGCAAAAGCGTTAGAGAAGAAAAAGGGGGATTCTTATGGTCCTATATGTTTACCGATATTGAAATCAGATGATGAGTAAATTATTAAAAAGGACAATCTTTACATGTGGAATGATGTTTCATTTATGGATATACATGAATTTTTTATTCTTGAAAAGGGAGCTCCAAACAAGAAAAGGAAGAAGGATATTTATTTAAACTATAAAACTTGTGTTGTTAAATTAATCAAAAATATTGTAATACTTAAAAAAAAATTCCTTTCAGGAAATTTAATCAATAAGGTTGACAAAAAGGAAAAATCTACCATAATAACAAATGATAATAAAATTGAAGAGATGATTGAAGAAGAAGATGAAAATAACTAAGTAACATTGATGTGAAAGATCACCAATAAAAGCAAAATATTAAAATATGATATGTAAGTAACATTTATTATTATGTTTTGATTTTATACATTGAACATTTTAATTTCATTCTAATAATTTTAATATTTTGAATCTTGATAATCATATTTTTTATAAAATATGTTACATTACTTCAAGAATAAATTTGATTTGGTCTGTCATGAATGTTATACCTATTATAATATTATCTTATATAAATTTTATATAATTATATCTTATTATATATTATAATATAATATATTATATTTATATAAAAATATAACGAATTTTTTTGGGAGGGGTGTGATGGGAAATTTAATGAGATATTTTTTGTAAGGAGGAAGAGAATGGAGGACGATAGAATATCAAGATTTTTAATGAAGTGGTGAAAATGGAGGTTAGCCACTGAAAATAAAAGCTTATGATGTGAAAAATATGAACCTTCGTGATTTTTAAAGTGAAGGCTCATGTATTAGAATTAGGTTTGAGATTAGATGCGATACTTGAAAAATAAAAGTTATCATTGATTTATTATATATTTTAGTTCTATTATTTGACTAGTTGATGTGAGTCATCTTTCATTTACATAAGTTAGTTTAATCATATTTATAAACTTAGAATCCCAGTCTTTTCACTTTTTGAGCCAGGGGATGGTGATTAAATGCAACTCAATTAAAGGCTTTAACATAAAACAAGAACATACATTTCCGCACGATGTAAAATAAAGTCTACAACTATTGAGGAGGTGCTTACAAGCACATTGCAAATCAAAAGATGTGTTTCATTAGAAAGAACAATATGACATAATTGTTATTTTGGCGAATGAGAAGACCTTAATTTTGTGAACAGAAAGACATTATTGTATTGTATAAACCATTTTATTGGGTATGTACAGTTAATCGCAAAAACTATTATGAATGACTTTATTAATCATATATATAAGAGATGGATGAATGGAGATAATTTGCCTGTGCTTTAGAAAAATAATTCTAGATAACTTTTGACATTCTCTGCTTGTATCATAATATATTTATAGCAATTTAAATATTTTAATATACTAATTAATAATCGACTATAACCACACTTCAATAATAATGAATTCTCAATGTAAGGTGAAAATAATTATAAACCAAGTCAAATTTAATTATTTTAAGCCTCAATCAGAATTTTCTACAGTATTATAATTCATCAAGTACGTTAGTTAGCCCGTTGAAGAGGATGTTTTATAAGCTGAATCAGTTTACACCGACAATTTAAGCATAAAAATAGGGTGATTAGGAAGAAAAACCAAAGTTAATTTATAAGAAATTTGACTTTATCAGCTGTTTCACACCTCCGCGGCAAAGGAAGTAATCAGTGTGTTGCCTGCTGTGACGCGGTTCTATAATTATTTGTTTAAATCTAACAAATACTCATTCAGCTATGCCATTACCTACTCTCTTCTTGACTTCCTTTCCACCCATGTGGTGCAAATTATCAAACCGTTTAATGCCAATCCATTACATCAAGTTGAAATGTTTGAGTAATATAAACATATATTTTCAAACTTCAAGCCAGACTGTCATCTAAACTATGAGATCATTAGTTAAGCCGAACACTATATATAGGCTTCAAATTAATCCATACTTTGCCAAGCAACAAATTGAGATACCATAACAAGTGCTCTAAAGGAATACCACAGTTTTCTCACCCAGAGAAGATGGGAACGAGGCAATGGCCTCGTTTGATCCTTGCATTTGCATTTTGCCTAATTGCTATCAGTGTTGGTGCTGATGATTATAAGCCTTACTATGCCCAACCATCCAACTATCCACACCCAGCACCACCATATGAACAGGATAAACCACCGTATTACATCAACTCACCTGCATATTACTACAAATCTCCACCTCCACCACCACTTCACTATGTCCATGAATTCCCTCCATATTACTACAAATCACCCCCACCTCCTTCCCCATCTCCACCACCTCCATATGTTTACAAGTCCCCTCCACCTCCACCTCCTCTCCTCTCCCTCTCTCCTCCACCTCGTTTATAATCTCCACCACCTCCTCCATATGTTTATAAGTCTCCTCCTCCGCCTTCTCCATCCCCACCACCTCCATATGTCTACAAATCACCACCACCTCCATCCCCCTCTCCTCCCCCACCATATATTTACAAGTCTCCTCCTCCACCATCACCTTCACCGCCTCCACCTTATGTTTACAAGTCTCCCCCACCACCATCTCCTTCTCCACCACCTCCATATATCTATAAATCACCACCTCCACCTTCCCCTTCTCCTCCTCCACCATATGCCTACAAATCCCCTCCTCCACCTTCTCCATCCCCACCACCTCCATATGTTTATAAATCTCCTCCCCCACCATCTCCCTCACCTCCTCCTCCATATGTCTACAAATATCCACCCCCACCATCCCCATCACCTCCTCCACCATATGTTTACAAGACACCACCACCTCCCTCTCCATCACCACCTCCACCATATGTTTACAAGTCCCCTCCTCCACCATCTCCTTCGCCTCCCCCTCCATATGTTTATAAGTCTCCACCTCCTCCATCTCCCTCCCCACCACCTCCATATGTGTATAAGTCACCTCCACCACCATCTCCATCGCCACCACCTCCTTATGTTTACAAGTCTCCACCTCCACCGTCTCCTTCTCCTCCCCCATCTTATGTCTACAAATCTCCGCCACCACCATCTCCCTCACCACCACCTCCATACGTTTATAAGTCACCTCCCCCACCATCACCTTCACCACCTCCCCCATATTACTACAAATCTCCACCTCCACCATCACCATCACCTCCTCCACCCTATGTCTACAAGTCTCCACCCCCACCATCTCCCTCTCCTCCTCCACCATATATTTACAAGTCTCCACCACCTCCTCCATATCTATATAAGTCTCCACCTCCACCTTCTCCATCACCTCCTCCACCGTACTATTATAAGTCACCTCCACCTCCATCACCTTCACCACCTCCACCATATTACTACAAGTCTCCACCTCCACCTTCTCCATCACCTCCTCCACCGTACTATTATAAGTCACCTCCACCTCCATCACCTTCACCACCTCCACCATATTACTACAAGTCTCCACCTCCACCTTCTCCATCACCTCCTCCACCGTACTATTATAAATCTCCTCCACCTCCATCACCTTCACCACCTCCACCATATTACTACAAGTCTCCACCTCCACCTTCACCTTCTCCTCCTCCACCATATCATCCCTACCACTATAACTCACCCCCGCCTCCCGTGTACTACTAAGCTTGCGGCTAAATCAATATGAATTTTTTCAATAAGTTATGTTCAGCGTTGTCGCGGTTAATTTGTAATTTGTAATAATCAGAATTTATTCAGAATAAGGTCTACAGCCAAGTGATCCTTATTTTGGATATACTGTATAGTTCATGCTTGTCTATTGGGTTAAATTAATTCAGAAGTGTGTATTGATCTCTCTCTTTCGAATATATATCATCTTTTATTCTTAGTTGCCGTTGACGTTGGTTTTCATTTTCCTGGATGATGACTTATCCAAACAGAAAATAATAATAATAATAATAATAATAATAATAATAATAATAATAACAATAGTAATAATATTTACTGTAAGCATAAATAAACAAGGCAAAGTTTTACTAAGCATTACAAAATATTATAAATACAAAATATTATAAATAATATAATGGTTTAAATAAGCAATATAATATATATATATATATATATATATATATATATATAGTATATTCTACTATTTTTACACATTTATCACTGTGGATATAAAAATAAAAAATAAATGGTTTATTTTATTTTATTGATATTATTTAGTTCTCTTTAGATTACATAGTTTTTTAACCGCGATACTAGTTAAAATATTTATTTTATTATTTTTGTAGTGCACTTCAAAATATTAATAATATAATTTTTATATTATTTTAATATTTTTACAGTATATTGTTTATTTTCACCATTTATCATATTTACATTTATTCTACTATTTTAATATTACATTTTAAGATATTTTAATATACTAATGAATTAACATAAAATTAAATTAAATCTTTGGAAAATTGTGATATTAGTATATTGTTATTATAAAATTATTAGTTATAGTAAAAAAAATTGTTTACCAAAAATTTATGATTCAATAATGTAGTTTAATAATGTTAAGTTGTTAACTAGTTGCCCTATTTTTTATAATTTTTGTCAAATATGATTGAGGTGCCCTATAAAAAACCTAGCAAGTAGTGTATTGAAACACTACTAAGTATTGTATTATTTAAAAACATTGCAAGTTATTTAAAAAAAAAAAAAACTTGTTAAGCAGAATTTTTAACTAGTTAACAAACTATAGATAAGCTAAATGATCAGTTGTTAGACCTACACATAATTAATTATATAATTCAATATTTGTCTCTTTAATTTAAAATAGATTAAAATATATATTTTTTCTTTCATATCATTTCATGTATATGACTTCTTTATTTTATCTCATTTTTCTATCGTATCATTTGTCCTATTAAATGTTCCCATCTCATTATTTGTGATTCATAAACTTTAATATGAGTTTAACATTTTTTGTGCCCTAATAAGGCGCATAAAAGATCTCGGTTGAACTGTTATTTATCTGTATCCCTATTTACATATTGTTTTGCAAGGTTGAGTAATAAATCATTGTATTTCTGTGTTTTCTTTTCTGAGAGTATAAACGTGGAAGCAAACATAGGTTGAGAGTCTCACCAATAATCCTTGGAATCTGCTTCAGTCTCAATATTTCTATAACCTAGTTTATGAATATTCCTGTAAAAAAGTTCATATACCTCTTGAAAAATTAATACAATTTAAACACACAGAAAAATCTCTAAGAAAGTCTTCAAAATGAGCTTTGGACAAATATACAATGAAAGATAATATATACAAACTGCGTATGTGTTTAAACTTATACAAGTTTCCATGTTAAACGAAAAGACATTCCAACTTGCACTATTAGCCTCATTGGAACCTAATTACATTTAATTAGTTAATAAATTAAGAATGTCTGACATAATTGATAAATATTTTAGTGGATCCCTTAAATTAATATCTGACCAAAAACTTTAGACACTCTAGGATATTAAAAATTTAACGCAGACTATTCCTCTGAATATATTTTTTATGCCCTCTACAACCATTTTTCTTCTGCTTTAGGTCACAATGAATGTCTGAATATATTGCCAGTGATCATGAGTCTGGTGAAACATATAATATAATTCGAATAAAATGGATAGTAATGCTAGATACTGAGGACGGACTAAAACCCTTTCACGTACTTCCTCCAAATCATAACTAATTAATAGTGATGGAACATCAACCAATCATATAAAAAAATATAATATCATCTTATCTATAATCTTAAAACATTAATTTATGTGTTTTTTTCAATTTTATTTTCATCAAACACTTCAATTCACGTTTGAATTCTAAATAAATAATAAAAAATTACAATTGAGATTAATTTTATTAGTTTGATCAAATTGGGAGGGAAAAATAGCAAAAAGGAATCTGTGGTAGTTAAAAGAGACTAATCAAATTAACTTGAGACGTGCATTCAACCAGCAAGCAACGTGTTAATCAAAGTATTTTTAGTGCCTTGCTGTATCAAATCATGAAAGCAATACGTTGCTGTTACAGAAAAAATAAACATTACGTTGAATAATAATAGTAAACTTTCAACGAAAAAAATAAAGAAATAAATAGCATTGCAACCTATCGATTTAAATTTCGTGTCCTGGATTTTTTTTAATAATCCATTTACTGCTCTAAAGTTAAAGAAAAAAATGGAGTTGCTGTGCAAAATGATCAAAAATCTATTCTCTGGTGGTGAAAGAAAAAAAGCACAAGCAATACACACGTGATATTAATCAAAACAATTAAAGTAGGATTACCGGCGTAGAAAGTAATTATACCCAGTCAAAAATAATTTATTTAAGTCAGTGTTTTGTCAAGTACGTTGGTTGACAAGAATGTCGTGTAACCTTCCTGGAGCAGTTTTCACCGACGATAAAAGCATAGAGAGCAACTTAGATAAGCTCAGATTTTTATAATCCACAAATATGGCATTATGAATTAGGAAGAAGAACCAAAGCAAGTGATTTTGCATTTGACTTTATCATCTGTTTCACACTCTAGGCCAGTTCTTCCTCAAAAGACAAGAAATAATCAGATTTGTCTGCTGTAACGCGCTTTTATCTATATTTGTTTAAATAAGATGAACTCATTCAACCATGCCATCACCTACTCTCTTGTTGAAAGCGCATGTTGTGGAAAATATGAAATGGTTTAATGAATACCAAATCAAGTTGAAATATTTAAACAATATAAATGTATTTTCAGACTTTAAGCCAGTCTGTCACCTTATCAACCATCACTGAAGCCAAACACTATATAAAGGCTTAAACTCCATACTTTGCCAAACAAGACATTGAGAGATCATAACAAGTGTTCTAAAGGAAGACCACTAAGTTTTCTCAGTAGGAGAAGATGGGAAGGAGGCAATGGCCTCGTTTGATCCTTGCATTTGCATTTTGCCTATTTGCTGTCAGTGTTGGAGCAGATGATTATAAGCCTTACAATGGCCAACCATCCAACTACCCAAACCCAACACCACCATATGAACATGATAAACCACCATATTACTACAACTCACCTCCATATTACTACCAATCTCCACCTCCACCTCATTATGTCCATGAATTCCCTCCATATTACTACAAATCACCCCCACCTCCTTATGTTTACAAGTCCCCTCCTCCACCCTCTCCCTCACCTCCCCCACCCTATGTTTATAAATCCCCACCACCTCCATCCCCTTCACCACCTCCTCCATATGTTTACAAGTCTCCTCCTCCACCTTCTCCATCCCCACCACCTCCTTACGTTTATAAATCTCCTCCCCCACCATCTCCCTCACCTCCTCCTCCATATGTCTACAAATCTCCACCCCCACCATCTCCATCACCACCTCCACCATATGTTTATAACTCACCGCCCCCTCCCCTCTCCATCACCACCCCCTCCATATGTTTACAAGTCTCCACCTCCTCCATCTCCCTCTCCTCCCCCACCTTACGTTTACAAGTCACCACCCCCTCCATCCCCATCACCACCTCCCCCTTATGTTTACAAGTCCCCACCTCCTCCATCTCCTTCTCCTCCCCCACCATATGTCTACAAGTCTCCACCCCCACCATCACCTTCACCTCCCCCACCCTATGTCTACAAATCACCACCACCACCATCTCCTTCACCACCTCCCCCATATTACTACAAATCTCCACCACCACCTTCCCCTTCACCTCCTCCACCCTATATCTATAAGTCACCTCCACCTCCATCCCCATCACCACCTCCTCCATATTACTACAAGTCCCCACCTCCACCATCACCTTCACCACCTCCTCCATATTATTACAAATCTCCTCCTCCACCTTCCCCTTCACCACCTCCACCCTATATCTATAAGTCACCACCACCACCATCCCCATCACCACCACCTCCCTATGTTTACAAGTCCCCGCCCCCACCATCACCTTCACCACCTCCTCCATATTACTACAAATCTCCACCCCCACCATCTCCCTCGCCTCCTCCACCATATTACTATAAGTCACCACCACCTCCTTCACCTTCACCACCTCCTCCATACGTATATAAGTCTCCCCTCCACCTTCTCCGTCGCCTCCTCCACCGTATTACTATAAGTCACCACCTCCTCCATCACCTTCACCGCCACCACCATATTACTACAAGTCTCCACCTCCGCCATCACCTTCTCCTCCTCCACCATACCACCCCTACCTCTATAACTCACCCCCGCCTCCAGTATATTAAGTTTGTGGCTAAAGCATTTTGATATAATTTTTTTTCCAATAAAACGTTCAACATTGTTGTAGTTATTTTGTAATTACTCATTCATTAATAATTGGGTATACACTGTGGGATTCTTATTCTTACTCTAGTGTAGCCCATGCGTTTGTATTGGTTTTAATTGAAAAGTGTGTATTAATCTCTTTCTATAAATATACATTGTTACCATTTTTCTATTTCTGATGTTGGATTCCATTTTGCTCTTTGCATTATGAAATTACGATCTTGATAAAATTCACCAATCATGAACTTTGGATATAAATTTGATTTGTATAACAGGAGAGAATTTCACTCGCACTCCGTGTTTATCTCTTAAATATATATATATATATATATATATATATATATATATATATATATATATATATATATATATATATATATATATATATATCAAATAACATTAATATTGATTAGAAGATATATAGATGGATTTATATGATAGAGAGAGGGATATAAAAATAATTTATAAGTGTTGATTACATGTTTAAAATTAATAAATGGATTATATTACTCACCATGTTTTTATGGTTTTAAATAAACCGATAAGAAATAAAAAAGAAAAAAGAAAACTATCACGCCGTCTCTCCCATTGATTCTGGGTCTAGTATAGTTTCAAATTGTCTTTGGTTCTCTCTTCTAGCACATATGAAAACCATAAAATGTGAAAACAATATTGCGATATTATTTCTGATGAAACCAAACATGCTATAAAGCAATCCATATGCATCACTCTTAAATTGATGGATTTGATAAAGCGATGGTTGGAAACCAAACACGTTTATTGTTTTCAAAATTTTAGTACATCCAACTTCCAAAGTTTTGCTAAGGGTGTGAAAAGATGATTTTTTTGTTTAGCAGTAGAAAATAATTTAGAAAGAGGTGGGTCATGAGAAGGTTTTTATGAGACAAATAGTAATTGGTTCAGGTTCTTATGAGACATATAGTAATTGGTTCACGTTCTTATGAGACAAATAGTAATTGGTTCTGTAAATGTCATAAATGACATTGTCTATTTACATGCTTGAACCACCATTTTCTAAGTATTCTATATTATTTTAAATAATTCTATTTTTTTTTTATTTTAAAATTATTTATCTTTTACTATCAAATATTTTTAAAATATGCTAATAATTTTAATATTACTTATATAAATTTCTAATTTTAGTAGTAGTTAAGAATTTATTTTTTCAGATCTTTTTAAAATTTGCATCGTCTTGAACCGATCAAGAACAGAATGCATGGGAGTAGAAGGACCATTGTGGTGCTTTACCCTATGTAGGGAGGGTTTAAAACCAAACACTTTTATTGTTTTCAAATTTTTAATATATATGTATGTGTTAAATAATTTTTTTAAATCACTAGGCCAACACTTAAACTCTCTCAACATCCAATGTGTGCATATAACATCTTAATGGTGCATAAAAATATAATACTTTTTTTATTTTTATTTTTATTTTAATATTTTTAATTGATTATTTTGGTATAGATATGTTAATTTCTTTTTTTTTTAATTAATTAGACCAAATTTGGCCCATTAGCCTAACAAGATTCATACTAGAGTAAAAATTTTAGTTTGTTTTAAAATATAGATTACTCATAATTTTTTTTACTATACACAAATTAGACTAGAGTAGATCACTCATTTTGACATCTCGGTATGATATATAGATTTATCTAATAAAAAATTATTTATAGTAATTAATTTAGGTAATTCAATAAACAACTTTCATTAAAAATATTTTTAAAAATTTCTTCAAGAGACCCACTAGATTCTTCAAAACCATAATACTCGTTTTTTTTAAAACAACCCACAATAAAATAATAAAAAAATTGATAGTAAAATATTATTTTCATAAGCAATTTAAATATATATAATTTCTTGTTAATTTAATTTTATGCATATATAATTTAAAATTATTATATATTTAAATTTATGTATAATCTCCTATGACTAGGATTAAATATCATTTATAATATATATTTTCTTATGAAAAAAATTATTAATATTTTTTATCAATATGTTTAAACATGGATTATTGACACACGAACTTCTAATCATATGACAAAAAATTTGAAACTCCTTCAAAAGTTAAAAACCATACAAGTATACCCCGTGAAAATGTCAAATGGATAACAATTTGTAGAAAATAAAGAAGATGTATATCCCTTGAAGGAGAAATAAAACTTAACAATATGTTATATATACTTAGATGACAATGTAATCTAATATTTCCGTTTCAATTGTTGAATGAATCAAATTAGACGGCTTAATTCACTAAATCTATATGTGTTATACAATATCTCACTTCAAAGACACTTATTCGACAGGGTGAAGGATGGGCTTACAATTTCAAAGGGGTTCAACAGGAGCATGCGTTCAAAACTAGTCTCAAATGTTAAAAATAAAAATAATGAGCTTGCAAAATAAAACTTGTGATATATGTCAAGTGACAAAACAAAATAGAGAGAATTTTCCTTTGAGTAATAATAAAGTTATTAGCATTTTTTAATTAATTCATTGTTATTTGTGAGACTCTATCGAACTTCGTCACCTTGTCATACATCTTATGTTTTTAATTATAGAGTATGACTATTCACATGTTATTTGGAGTTATCTTTTACTTAATAGAAAACACTACAAGAAAAATTGATATTATCTACTGTCCAAATATGGTATTACAAAAAATCCTTAAGTATAGAGATATTCCTACCAATTTTTGGCAAAAAAAGATCCCTAGGAAAAACGTCATAGGTAACATTAGCTACAAATTTTTAAATCTGTAAGTAACAGTTAGCTATGGATTTTTAAATTCATAGGTAATTCATACTACATAATCCATAGCAAATGTCCATAAAAAATTACATACGAATACATCAATAAGTAATTATATATATATATATATAAATAAATAAATAAGTAATTTATCTATTGATATATCCCTACATATTACCTACTTATATTCCTAGGTATTATCAACGGATATATCAATATATAATTACCTATTGAAGTGTTAACATACATTTATCTCTATTTTTCTTTAAAAAGTTTCAACTAGATTTTAATATTCATATATTCAATCATGTATTATCTAAATATTCATATATATATATATATATATATATATATATATAATTATAAAATACAATGTTTAACACATGTTTTGAACACATTATATCAATAATAAGTTTTCAACACAAGTTTAGAACATTATTTTAAAAGACTAGTTAATAAAACAAGATGATAATAAAAGTCATCTATATAAATAACAAAATTAAATCTTAAACAAAGTCCATAATAAACGTTCTAAGATATCTCATAGTCAATATATTCTTCTCCTTTTGGCGAATTATTTTGTTCTTGATCACCTTTATCCTACTGATTGCCTTAAACTTGTTCATTGTCATATTGTTGGAAAATATTTTGTGCAATTGTTGGTGGTAGTAGGTACTATAGGACTACACCAAGAAATGTTTAAATAGATTGAAATTGAGAACTCATTTGATAAATTTGCTCCTCACTAGTGGATAGTCGTTGTCTCAATCGTGTAATCTCCTATGAATCAACTTAATTAGAAGATGCTTCAGTTTGTTTTACGAGATTATCAACATAATCATCATGATGTCCAACAACCATAGACTCATCTTTTATACCTTCCATCTACAACAACTAATCAATATCTATTCATTTGTCTCTCTTTAAGGAAGCTTCTAGAGTCCTATTGAATTGTGTTGCTTTGTTATAAAAACACTATGAAAAACAAATTAAGATCATTCGAAGTGATAATGAGTTTCCGGGCTTATCAATAAAGTTTCTTAAACTTGACATTATTTTTCAAACATCTTGTAAAGGGACACCTCAACAAAATGGTTGAGTTACAAGAAACCACAAACATGTCCTTAATGTAGCACATGCATTAAAATTTCAAGGTAACCTTCATATTTCTTTTTAGAGTGAATGTATCTTAATAGTTGGATATCTAAACATCAACACCTTTTTTAGATGGAAAAACTCCTTATGAAATGTTTGGCAACCACCTTTAAATAATCACTTAATAGTGTTTTGTTTTTTATGTTATGCTCATAATCAAGGTAGAAAAGGAGATAAATTTGCTACTCGTAGTAAGAAATGTATGTTCGTGGGTTATCCTTTTGTGACGAAAGGATGAAAGTTGTATGATACTGGAGACTAAAAGTTATTTTGTGTGAAAAGATGTTGAACTTTTTGGAAATGAATTTCCTTTTACACAGACCCACTAGTAATGAGTTTGTTCCTACTATGATGATATTTGATGTTAATATTTAAGATAATGGTATCGAAAATTGTTATATTGATGATTATGGATTTACAAAAGGTAAGACAATAAGTGAGATAGGGATGGAAGAAAATTTAGAAAATACACTTCCTTCCTAAAATTAGGCGAAAGCAATGAACTAATATGATCAAGTAAAAAACTCATCTAATTGTTCTTCGACTCCACAACATAATTCAGATGAGTCATATCCCATAACACATGATGTGAGTTGTGATAAATTTTTTTTGAAGTATCACGGGTTCCTTGCGGCATTAACTACCAAGAAAGAAGCAACAAGCTATTCTTAGACAGAGAAAGATGATAAATGAAGCTAAACCATGAGATAAGAAATACAAGCACTTGAAGACAATAAACCTAGACAATGTGTCCATACCAAAAGACAAAAAGGCATTGAGATAAAAAAGAGTATATAAGATTAAGTACAACTCATATAGAATTATAAAACCTTTTAAAGCTTAGTT